AAAAATATTATTAATTATATTATATTCATTTTTTTTATAAACAATGATATGTATACTTTATAAAAATGAGTATTTTAATGTAGGTATCATACTAGTTATATTACGTATGATTATTTTCTTCTTTTTTACTAAGAACGTTTCGTAAGAGGGTGGTAAAACAAGAACTGGTGGCCAACGTGTGGGAGAGAAAACGAAAAGAGAAATAGTCTTTGTCTCATCTTCTTCTTCTTCTTCTTCTTCTTCTTATTCCTTCTCTTCTTTCTCTTCTTCTTCTTCTACTACTTCTTCACCTTCTTCTAACGAATCGAGACGACACAGAAGATCTAAAAATATTGTCGGCCATCGCGCACAGCAAAAGCTTATTTCCGAGCGAGTATTAGGCGTGTGTGGTGTGCTGTTGCTGCTTGTTCCTTTTTAAAACGACACGAAGAGAAGAACATTTTCATCGAAATTACTCTCTCACATAAACACATACACAACAAACACACACAAACACATGTACAACGAAGTTTCATACTATTCAATCCAAGCCAAGAAATATCTTTTTTAATAGTAATAAATAAATAAATCTTACTAATTTCTCATCCCTATACACACATATACATATATATATATATATATAAACATTAGTCAGAGAGCTAGTGTAACACCCAATAAAATTATGAAAATAGTCCAAGCTATATAAATTCTAAAAAAAAAAAAAAAAAATTTAGATAATAAAATATTCGAAAATAAAAATTGTACCATGGTATATTTAAGAAGTATGTATATACTGTATATTTACAATTCTAGGATATTAGAACAAAAGCCTTTTATTTCAACAAAATTAATTATAATAGAAAATATATGTGTATAAGAATATATGTATAGATTTTATTAAAATTGATAAGAATTACATCTGTAATTATCATTTCAATTTAATTATACCAATGTTCATGATTAAAATTAAATGAAAAAAAAAAAAAAAAAAAAAAAAAAAAAACAACAAATATAATTCTATACAAAAATTATCTACATTTGTATTTGTAAATTCCTGAGATATAAAATTATCTACAT